AACATGATACTATGAGGTCTTTAAAATATGATGGGCTCTGATTTTTCAAGACTATAAAGGTTTCAACCCTTTAAAGTCTGAACCTTGAATTTAAAAGAAGAAAATTATTGTGATGTATTTCAGACGTGCCTTTAATTTAACTATTGTAGTTTATTCATCTGGCCTCATAGATACATATAGTTGGGTATCAACTACATAGGAATAAAAATGTCTGTAGTGTTTTCTAATAATTATTTCTAAAGAAAATGTGTAATGTATGAATGTATGTCAACAGTTGTCACTGACAGAAATGTATTACAATCCATACTGTTATGACAACTCATTTAAATAGAAAAAAAACACACACACAGGTAAAGGCAGGTTGCGTTTGGTTTTTTTTTGTGACTTATATTCTTAAGATAATTATCATAAACACAGAAATAGGTGATCATATGTGAAGTTTGCTGACAACCCTCTGGCGATCTTCTTACCAGCACTGAACTGGGATGGACACTCATCTGTATTGTGGAGAGTTTTCGTCTCTCTCTGCCAGTTATGGATCTTTGATCAGCACGTTTCTTTATGGCACAAAGACAAAGGATACATATTTGATTGCCACATCTGGCCAATGTATTCAAACACTAAGAAACTCAAAGGTTTACCTTGTCATGAGAGGGATTTTTTTTAAAGTATATTTTCTGTCATCTGACAATTTAGTGAGTTGAAGACAGATGAAAAGAGATTTAATTTAGGGGGGTCACCCTAGCTCAGCTTTCGTTTAGTAGGTTAATTACGTTCTGTGTCAGTGGAAGCTTATAGTCGCTGGCAGAGGGAAATGTATCACAGGAACCCTTAATGATCAATTCCCCCATGTCCTTTGTGAAATACGAATTTGGAAGAGAAAATTGGGTTGCAAGTGTGTGTCTACGCGCACACAGACCGTGCACGGTGGCCTGAATAATATAAGCTACCAAGTAGCTTCATCAAACACCTGAGTGCCAGAGTTTTAGTATGACCTACTTCTCCATAACGGGGCACAAACTAGAAACCGCTCTGTCAGTCATTGTTTACATTGTCATTTCACTGTTCTCTAATTGATGCAGACAACAAAGAAATTGCTTTTAAGTTAGCTTGTTGATTTAGTGGTGATGGTCAAGTTAGAGGGCAGCGTCAGTCTGTTGATGGTTTTCTTGATACATTATTGGTGATTTCTGATTGAGTCAGCACATATGAAACAGTCAAATCACTGACTATGGAAGTACAGTGGAAACAGCACACAAATGCAACAATAGCAGCAACTGCTCCACTAGCTTTACAAATGTCCAGCCACTGTGTGCAACATATAAACTGGATCTGGTCTGGAAATCACTCAAAGTCATCATCTATCATCATGAAAGGTCCACTGAATGTGTGGAGAGAAGCACACCACCAGGAGAGTGGGTAGCGCCACTATACACACAATACAGCAGGCATCAGTGACAACAAACAGAGCATTACGTAAATTAGAGAGAGCATCAAGGGAGGAGCTTGGCGGGTTGCAAAGCAGCTTGCATATGTGGAAAGGCAGCTAAAATAACATAACATATTTGAGATTTGATGATTGGATGTGTACAAGCCCAAGACGAGGGCTGCATTATGTTTCTGCATCAACCAGGGCAGATCGAGAAAGACATAAAAGTACTTCATAAAAGTCATACCGTTCATACTTTTTATATATCATCTTCATTTCTTTCTTACAGGGGCATCTTACAACTCCCGACAGAAAAGAGGAGCCTTCACTGGCATAGCTACCTCCCCACTCTTCCCCTCCTCCCATCCACATTTCCCTCTTCTCCTCCATTCTTAAACCGTTGACCGTTTGTTTATCGCCTTCTCTCCCTCCATATTTCCCCATCATCTGTCACCATGACAACCTCAGCCCTGCGCAGGCAGGTGAAGAATATTGTACACAACTATTCAGAAGCAGAGATCAAGGTATTGTGTTAAATGTGCTATCTTCTTCGAGTGTCACTGTTTATTAGTCATACAGATGCTGACCATCATACAGATAAGCACTTGAGATCTCTCAGACGTAAAACATAAATGGATGTTATTCCTGTGCTGCCAACGTGCAGGTTCGCGAGGCCACCTCAAACGATCCATGGGGGCCATCCTCGTCTCTCATGTCAGAGATTGCTGACTTAACCTTCAATGTGGTGGCGTTTGCAGAGGTCATGGGTATGGTGTGGAAGCGCCTCAATGACAGCGGCAAGAACTGGAGACATGTCTACAAGGTGATTTCATGAAAAGACATGAGTGTTGAGTCTCGTGCTTAATCTGACTTTGTAAACTGTAGCTTCTCTCTACTTGTTGGCCATCCACTGACACTCACTAGCTCCACTGAATAACAGTCATGCATCTTTAAATTTTGTTCTTCTGGATGAAAATGTCAGTTGTAATGTGCACAATATGTTGACTACAAAAATATTTGGGAATAAATGTGCTAATCGTGATTTGACTCCAGGCCCTGACACTGTTGGATTACTTGCTGAAGACAGGATCAGAAAGGGTGGCCCAGCAGTGCCGTGAGAACGCGTTCACTATTCAGGTATTGGAGTGAAACAAAAAAAGCTGATTGATCATTGTTTATTGATCACATCATGTTAACCACAACCCTGCGTCTGTTCAGCTAGCTACATTTTATACTTAAAAAAACTCACTGTGATGTCTTTTGTGTGTGGTTCAGACCCTGCGCGACTTTCAGTATGTGGATCGTGATGGCAGAGACCAGGGGGCCAACGTAAGGGAAAAAGCACGCCAACTGGTCTGCCTCCTTCGGGACGAGGAGCGGCTGCGCCAGGAGAGGAGTCAAGCCCTTAAGACCAAGGAGCGAATGGCTGGTGGAGGCAGTGGAGGGGGTGGAGGTGTTTATGGAGGTATACCCCCAGCGTATCACCCAGGCAGACGCACAAGTCAGCCCAGCATGGCTGTGCTATACGGGGAGGAATTCAGTCGCTCCAGAGGCTCTCCATCTTCCTTTAACTGTGAGTAAACTTATCTGGAACACTGACCGCCTTCTATTGTATGATAGCAAGTTGTGAATAAATAGATCAAGACTTTAAAAATACACATTTAAATTCAGGATCATTGCCGCATCCCTAATTAAATGTTTTTTGCGCTGTCACCCAGCACTTTGGACAACCACTTGGATTATCAATACTGCAGCGTAGGCCTGAAAATATTCAAATGAGCCCCATACTTTGTGTGCTTCTTGTCTTTCTGGAACTGCTCGTTTATCCCGACATCAATCGTTTCTCCTAACTCGGTCTTATTCCATTCTCCCAAAATCCCTCCGCAGCCTCATCCTCGTCTCCTCGAGCCGCTTCAGACCTGGAGCAGGCTCGACCTCAGACCAGCGGGGAAGAGGAGTTACAGCTCCAGCTGGCTTTAGCCATGAGCAGGGAGGAGAGTCAGAAGGTAAAACAACACACAACAATACACATACACACACACGCACGGTATGATAATGTGGATGTCCTCAGGTGTAGCTCCTGTCCACATATACACACAAATAAGTCCTCTGTATTCAGTGCCTCTTGATGATTCCAGTAATGAAAATGAAAATGTTGCAAACATTTTGAACATTCGCCCACCTTCAGCTAGCCCTTCCTTCCCCTGTTACCATAGAGACAGATGGAGACACAGAACTACAGACTGCTCAAAGCCTTAGCCTAACGGAGCATGTGCAGGTACACACAGAAACACACCTCAGAGCTTAAAGTAAGCAATTATTAAATATTGTGTGTCTTTTTGTGTATTTGACGACATGGCTCATATGCTTTTACTGAGATTTTCCTGGTATTTTTAAAATGTAACATTAATTTGATATTTCTTTTGTCGTTTGCATTTTTTTAGTTATTCGTCTTTGTTCTAATGTATACATTTTCTTGGCCATTAAAGGTACAAACTGAGAGCATGATTTTCAGCTACATTAGCTAAGCACCTCCAGTCTCTTTGACTAGAGGCTGTCATTTGTGCTGTGCACCTGGTGCCAGTGAACCAACAGGCACAAACTTTACATTTTACATGACAGCTTCCTCATTTGGAGAATAAAGAATAAGCACGTTATCCAAAAATAAAACACAGAAAATTAAGTGGAACGTAATTGACTTGGCAAGATGCGGGGAATGAAATTAATAAATGGGAAATTTAAAGGGAAAATAGAGTTAGGACGCATTACTGTGATGTAAATAAATATGGAAGCAAATTTAAACAGAAATGCAATTAAGTTGCATTTTATAAATTGATTAACGCTTGCATTTATTTTTACCACTGTTTTCGCACATTTAGTGTATTTTGAGTCATTCATTCATTCGTGCGTTTCTTTATTTTGGATTTTTGGCAGTTACAGTCCTGAATAATGGCGATCTCACTAACCCTTTACTTCCTTTTCTCCAGCTTTTACCACCCGTCGCCTTATCAGGAACTCCGTTGTGCAGATTTCTCATACGATTTTTCATACAAGTACTGCTTCAACTCTCATGTGTAATTTTGGAAGATTTTCTCTCTGCTTTGTGCTTACCCAGCTTCTGCTCTTTGTAAACTAAATATTTCAACAGTGCAAAACAGCCACCAGTGCCGCGTTCGGTCTGCTGGGCCAAGCAGCAGAAAAGTGTTTAACCAATGCCAGTTTTTGTGTGCAGGTCTGCACTCATTGCCACGATGGTAATGCTGATGATGTCACAATACCGCCCCTGCAGGAGCAGCGCTGTCGCCAAGGAGACGAGTCACTGTTACAGAAGGCCCTGGATGAGAGCCGGAGAGAGAGCCAGTCAGGGACGCACGAGGTGAGTTCAAAAATGTGTGTGCATGCGATGGATGCCATGTGTGTGGGTACACGCATGGAACATGAGTGTGAATTTGTATGAAAAGGTGGGCGGATGCATTTGTAGGTGGTTGCTGGCAGGCATTTGGAGAAAGAAGTTGAATATAGGCTGCAGACTACGAGGCAGGGATGGACAACAAGCCTAAAAATAAAATAAAATAAACAACAAAACAGCCTAATGATCGTGTGTTGAGAGAGAGACAATAGAAAGCTGAGAGAAGAGAAAGAGGTGCTTGCTGAATGATAATGACTCTGTCGTGTCTAACCTTGAGCTCAGCATGACATTTCCCTGAAAGCATACTTCTTATCTTGTAGCACATCAGCTCCTTTACTCATTGGCCTGTCAACAAGCCAATCAGAGTCAGCTGCAGTCTTATGTAAAGGTTCCCAAGCCTTGTAACTGGTCGTGTAATGTCGAAATCATTGCTATGCCATCACATAAAGCCAGATAAAACATGAAAAATAGAGGGAAAAGGGGAAAAGTTAACCTCTAAATGGCTCTTTCACTGACAAAATCTTAAGATTTTGTGTTTAGCATAAAAGGTACTAAATATAAGTGTACTTTATTAGAAAAGACAGTTTGTTTTAACTACCTCCTTAAAAAAATTAAAACTTACATAAGTTTTCTCTTAAGCCTGTTTTCAGTGTGATTGCACTGGGGCCCTGTCTGCACTTTGTGACCGATTATGTTGAATATTGAGCTCTATAGAACAGATTTACGTGATTCACTTCTTTGTGTGGAGCAGAAATTTAAACACATAAACCTGACATTTCTGTCTGCTACCTTTCAATTTTCACATGCAACAAGCTGATATGAACATATTTGAAATAATTAAAACTGAAAACTGGTAAATCAAAACTAAGAGTAGTGAGAAAATAAGCTTGACTGAATTACAAAGTCAGGAATCATAGTTCAAGCGGTAGATCATATGTTGTCATATTTGTGTGAAATGGCAGTGATGACTTGTGTTTTTTATGCCATTTCAGTTTTTTAAATTAAAAACAAAGTAGGTGTTTGTTTCCATGTTCTAACTCACATTTCCACTTAACATGGCATTACAATGCAGGTTCAGCCCAGTATGATATAGTTTTACCACATGGGTAGGGTCTGAAAGATAACATAGAAGCTTCATTTGATGCTTTTCTGTGAGTAGAAATAGAAATTTCTCTGTAGGTAGATATCTTCCTGTTTACTGTCCTGTAGGATTCTCTTCTGCAACTGCTGTGCTGCAGAGTGGTCTCTAAACAGTACAACCTGAGAAATTTATGAAACGATGACACCGTTTCTGAATGACCTCAAGCAATTTTCATTTCATTATATAATGTATGCTCATTACAACATACATAAAGCCACAAACACCAGATGCAAGATGCAGATGCTGTGGTGGATCTTATTAATAAATTATACTCTACAGTAATAGAGCAATGGACTGCGTAACTCAGAAGGGCGCCAGGAATTATCATAGCAATTGTAAATGTGTGTTTTCAGCAGCAGCAGCAGTGAAACATAACTGCAAAGAAACATTTTCAAGTGAGCTACAGTAAGCTCTTTATTGGTAAGGGAATAAACAGAGCAGCAGATTCAGTCTGACTTTAGAAAGTCGCCATTGTTCTGTGAATACCATGGATCTTTTCTTTTCATGAGTTAATACCAAAAAGCAGATCTGTGTTTGTCTTTTTTTGGAACACTGAATAGATTTCTCTTCCCAGAAAAAACATTATATTTCAGTAGAGCTGAAAATTGCCACAGATCAATAACTCTTAACTGGAACACCAGCAAGTGCACATTTCTGTACTTTCAGTGTACAATAGTTTCTTCCTCAGTTTGACTCTCCGATATTTACATAACACATTTTTACTCAGACAATTCATTTAACTTCATTTAAATACAAAGTGAAATCATTAGTGTTAATACAGTTGTCAATGGATTTTACAGTCACACTGACTCTGTGAGTTCTCCGGCTGTCCTCAGTAGGATTGGGTGCTTTGAATGTTTCTCATTAAGTTACACAAACCTGGAAACAAATAAGACAATGTTTGATCCTGAGATGTTTTCCTTTCCTTGTAGTCTGCCATGTTGGATCTAGTGGACATATTTGGATCCTCATCTGAGCCCCCTCTGCCACCTAGTGACCCTTGGAACTCTGCTAAACCCACCAGTAACGTCTCTTCTGACCCGTGGGACTCTGTAGGTAGGTGGATCATCACAGACGCATCACACAAACATCAGTGTGATGCAAGAGTGCATTCAAAACAGCAGCTTCAAAGTGAATCTTTTCTCTCCCTAACAGCAGTCCACTCAAGCACTCCTGTGATTGGTAGCCCCTGGACAGCCCCTCCCTCCTCCAACAACACATCCAATCCTTGGGCTCCTTGTACCAACTCACGCACAGACCCATGGGAAGCAGCGCCTGCTTCCTGCAGTCCTGTCAATCATGCGTGGGACAGCCCAACAGATGGAGGTGCTTTCATTAGGACACACACACACACACAGTCGTGTTTTCATATCTTTGTGGGGACATCTAATTGACATAATGCTTTCCCTAGCCGCTTACCCTAACCATCAAAAATGAACTAACCCTAACCATAACCTAATTGTAACCCTGACACTAAAACCACATTTTCACTCTCACAAATGCCTTCAAACTCGTGGGGACGGGTTTTTGTCCCCATAAGGGCTGTTGGTCCCCACAAGTATAGTAAAGTTCCAAGTTTTGGTCCCCACAAAGATATGTAAACCTAGTACACACACGCACACACACACACACACACATATATATATTGATTGTTTTAATCCAAAAACATAAGCACTTCTTCTGTTTTCATCGATTCTCATTTTTCCGTGCAGATGCTGATGGGACGGATCCATTCGCTGCACATGAAGAAGAGAAACCTAAACAGGAGATTCCCGCAGTGTCCTCACCTCAACCTGCAAGTCCCACAGGTACTATTGTACATAAAAGAGAGAACTGTGGGCTTTACTGTAAGACTTAATCCTGACAGTACCACGGGTGGTTGTAGTAACAATAACATCATACAATATGATCTTTGTTATACCTGCGATACCTGTGATATTTTGTACTTTTAGAGGTACTATGGCTTGTCACTGGGGTGGTACCGTTCAAAGTAATGCCATGGCACTTTTTTCTGCTCTTGTAGTTTATTACCTACAAGAGATTGGTTTTGAACTTCTCGTGACAATTTTGTAGCTCTGAAAGTTTAAATCTCACTGAAACTCCTCGTTTTGTTTTGCTTTGTTTTCATTTGTACAACATTTAACATTATGTTATATTATCGTTCATCAAAATCTAATTTTAAAATCCTTTTTTCTCCCTTGTGTAGATGCAGAGTTGTTTGGGACAAAACCAGAGTCTGACCCATTTTCTGGTCTAGACTCCAAGCAGGACCCATTTGGAGCGGAGCCACCAGTGAAACCCCTGGTAAACGGACGAGATTCAGCCAGCCCGGAGATGTTTGACCTGTCACGTCTAGCACCCCCGCTCAGTGCCCCGGCTACACGTGTGTGTCGAACTCCAGAGGCTTTTCTGGGACCTACGGGGGCCTCGTTGGTGAATTTAGACACTCTGATACCCCCCAACCCCCCTACAAAGACGCACAATAACCCTTTCCTCTCAGGTAAAACACAACTTTAAATTTACATACAGAAATATTACTGTGATATTGTTAGTTTTAAGTTTTTCAGTGGCACAATTCTGTCTTCACAGGTCTGAGCGCACCATCTCCTAACAACCCTTTTCACTGCGACCAGCCTCGCCTCACCCTCAACCAAATGCGACCGTCCTCCACGTCCCCACTGCCCCCCCACATGCTGTCCTACAGCCCGTCGCTGCCCCTTCCACTGCTCCACCAGCCTCCCATCCTCCCCTCTTCTTTCACACAACCTCCTGCTGGACTCCTGGACCTTCCCTCTAACCTCCCGCAGCCCCTGCTTCCCCTTTCTCCACGACCAGCACCCCGCACTCAGTCACAAACACACAGTCACAACCCTTTCCTCTGAGACTCTAACATCTTGCAAGCTCTGGTCTGCAGAGGGAGACAGAACTGACTCTTTTTGGGTTAATCTATGCTAACTGCAAGTTTAAGCGAGCCTGAACTGGGTCCTGGTCTGATGTCATTGTGCACACTTGAAGTGGACTCGGATGGGATGTATTTGTGTCTGTGTAAGGACACAACAGCTGCTACTTAACCTGAACTCTTGAAGAAAAGCTCGCTCACGCACACACACACCTATACATGCACTCAGGCGCACTTTAGGGTGCACAGACACAAACATGTACACTGCACCAAACTAACAGGGTGTATCTCAACAGTCCCTCTAATGCCTTTTCCCCATCAAAAGAGACAACTCCAAGTATCTTTTCAATCCTGAACTTTTCCTTTAAAAGCCTGGGATGAAGCCACACTCTTTGATTGTCTACGAAGCTTCACCAGGATCCTTACCACTGCTGCTTCACCGACAAAAGCATGAATGCCTTCCCCACCCAGGATTCCAAACTACGCTACTCTCCTGAGCACCTGAGATGAGCTCTTCAAATAGATCCTATTTTTTCAAGAGCTTTCTGTCACTTGAGAAAGTCCAAAAGTGTGGTACTGTAAGATTTAAGAAAGCATAGACAAGAACTAATCAATTCCTTCCCACCTTTACATTATAATATATATTTTGCATTGCCTTGCTACCTTGCAATCTCAATAGCATCTGATCCTAAGTTAGCTTGGTTATTTATCTTTCAAGATAAGAAGCCTCAACATGATCCTGATGGATTCAAAACTAGCCTAGCCTAAGTTCAATTGTACAATCTGTCACTAAAGTGATCACTTATTTAACCCCCACCCCCCGTGCCTGTCTCTACATCTTACCCACCATGCATTCTTAACCAGTGCATGCTAGCACCAGTTAGGGGAGGGGTGTACAACTAATTTTCCCCACAGGCCACATGAGAAACTGAGACTGTTTGGAGGGCTGTACCGATAAGCCAAACTCAGTTCTGCTGGGAAATAATGTCAACTCTGTATACGCTTATGGGGCGCAGCCCTTCACAACAGTCCCAGTTACTCATGTGGCCCTTTGGGAAAATGAATTGGCCACCCTGAATTAGGAGGACCTCAGGGAGACTGCCCCTCTTTCAATGCGATTCAACCTCACTAAATAGAAAAGTATTTGACTTTAAAAATAAACAGGAGAATAGGTGATTTTATTTTTTTCTGATTAAAAAACGATGGGAGGATGCGAATGTATACAAGGAAGAAAGGAGACGTGACGGAACAGATCTAAATGAAGTTATTACAGATTATAGAACAATTTATTGAGCTGTAGCTCCTCTTCTCCTCTGCTCCTTGTTCATGTCAGTGTTAGGAACAAGAGAATCTGAGATGAATCAGAGATGTTTGGTCATTACTGCACTGAACCTGGACTTGAATGTGAAATGCCTGCCTATAGATACACACAGGCTTAGTACATATGTATTTAACAGAATGATAATGCTGTATTATTAAGTATTATACCAATAAATTGATGGTGTTTGCATTATAATTTCTGAAGTATTGTCTTTTTTTGTTGTTGTATAACCCCTTTTTTGAACTATGACCACTAGATGGCAGTGCTGTGTAAGACGGTTTTAATGCCCTGCATGTTTTGCAGCAATGCAGTCTGGGCAACATCACCCCTGGGATATAAGACAGATAGGGTTACTTGTCTGGTAGTCAGCACACTTGAAGTTCCAAGAAGCAGTTCAAACATTTCACGGTAATCACCATGTTGATTGTTGCACCATAGCAGCTGATCTCTAGCCATGTGCAAACAAGCTTTTAATCCAACCAAACATCTTACTTGTTGCACATAAATTTATGTAAGGAACTGATTAACTCTATTAATCATCTAGCTTTCAGATGATGTTTGCAAAGATCTTTTCATATGTACAATTTAATATACACATGCATCAAGAAGAAACTGTTAAGAAATTCGATTCCTCACACTGTAGTTTGTTAACATTTTTAAAACAAGACATCAGAACCCTGAAAATTAGACTTTTAGTTTCACAGACAGGTCTTTGGACTGCCTTTGCTCTGAGAAAAATCTGAGGGGTGTTATGAAATGAGAGGGAAAGTTATATTTCCATATTAAGGTTCTGCTATCATTAGATATTTTCCATTTATTACCCATTCATAATGGTATTTGTCAGCTTCCTATCTGCATGGCTCCTGTACAAGATCAATTAAAACAACTAAAAGGGCTTTCTTGCAAACTCTCAAAAGGTCAAATATCTGGGTTTCCAAAAGTGAAACTAAATGAATCGAGAAAATCCAATCATGCCTGTACACCCAGAAACACTCGCACACTTCCCTTTCTCTTTAATGTCTGGCATTTCTGTCCAAATAAAATCAAGTGGAGTCTGATCACAGATCTAAACAGCTGCAGTCTCAACCTTCTGATACAGTAAATCAACTGGTGTGCACATTTGATATACAACATTGCCATGTGGTGTTGATTTGGCGAAGGCATGGGTGGGGGTAAACAGGCAGCAGTGAGTGATTGTGGGAACAGTTGCAAGTGTGAGTGAAGACTGTGTTCTAATGCAAAAGTACCGATTAGGTTCTTAGAGACCTTGTGGGCCTGCATTGCAAGGAAATAGATAAACTTCACTTCCAGCCAGTACATAACCTCTGCTTGAACCTCTAATTGTGTTTTAGTTAATCTTGCATGACTCACTACGACTATCTATCTCTATCAGTCAGAAATTAATATCTGCCTTGCTTCAAAACCTCCAGCGCAACAGTCTAGTGAAGATAAATAAGACTGCCATTTGCAGAGAGAAATAAGAGACTGATTACACATACAGGCACACATCCATAAGAGCAAACGGTCATTGTCGCAGGTGTGGGCCAATGAATCTGTGCATTGAGTCTAAATGTTATCTAAATTCCACTTATCATACATTAAAAAAAATAATTCCTGGTTTGGACCTCATCTGATGACACTAGCTGTTGTTCCTGGCCTGCAGTGAGGCAGCTGTCCAATTAAAGGATCATTCAGAGTTATAGATTAAGCTAAGCCTGACTGAGATGTTACGGTAACATGGGAACAATTAGTCTCAGCACGTGCACATAAACACAGTGTGTATTCACTTAAAACAGTTTTTTAAACGACATCCTGTCCATGCAATGCCCTGATTAAGGCGGACCGTGTGTGTGCAATAAAATTCAGAACTTCATTAAAAATTATCTCAGGACATTAACCAGAAGAGGAAGGCAGTTTATGTCTTCATAAAGTGGATAATATACAAGTTAAGCAGCTTGGTTCCTCTAGGCTTTTCTCTTTTTATTGCTCATGAATGGTTTTATCAGTGCACAAAAAGAACAAATGAGGATTAGTTTGAGAATAACAAGGGGGTTTAGCAATCTATACAGTGGAAGTGAAGCTAATGTGTAACAGAGTTTAGATATCATGACTTCAGCATCACTAATTCCTACACACACAGACAATCCCTGTAATTCTGTTACTTTTGAAAATAAAAACTATGATATAAAACAATGGCCCATCCTGTTTTTCTGTCTGCTCACCAAGACAAACATCCCATGCTATGGCTGCCAACATTAACATGAAAAACATACTGATCTGGTCCCTATTCAACATGAGAGCTAAGAGCTGCACAGTTGTATGTCATCAGTGCTGAGTCTGACCAAACAACACAAAGAAGCCAGAACGACACACCCAGCTGTTTACTTTAGTGAGTTTTGAGATAAATCTTTTTCCATTTACTTGAAAATAAAATTTTAAGATACTAAGATACTACAAACAACGCATCGGTGACATTAGCACAATGTATGACTTAGTCTTTTATTGTGCCAAGAACAAATCAAGCATGAGGCACGGTTGTGCTTATGGAAGAACGTATTAAAACGATGATGAAATTTGTTTTATAAACATTTAAAGTCATTTTAATTACTTGATAATGTATGTATTATTAGTCGATTTAAAGGATTGGGTCCTGATAGATAGATAGATAGATAGATAGATAGATAGATAGATAGATAGATAGATAGATAGATAGATAGATAGATAAACTAAATTAAAAATTGAATTTTTTAAAATTTATTTTGACTAATATTCAAATTCAAAAAGAAAATGGGCAAATACTTTTCACATCACTGTAGATAGATAGGTCGATCAATTAAAATAAGTAAATAAGACAATAACCATAGATAACTAGAATAACTATTAATAAACTTATTGTACGAGTCACTTATTTATTTATCCATTGTCCATTATATATATATATAATTTATAATTTATATATATATATATATATATATAACAAGCACAGCAAAATATATCCCAATAATATCCCAATAGCTTGAATTAGACAGTTTATTTAATAATTAAGCCTCATCCTACACGTTACCGGTGCCATGTTTTCAGAAACGCGGTATCTTCAAACCATTGACTGTAGAAAATAGTCAATGCTTCAAACAAACAGCAGCACATACGCTTTGTCTACGTCACCGCTATAGATGATTGACAGTGAATCGCAGCGAATCCGGTGTCTGTCCGTGTTTTGCATGAGCCAATGAGCGTCCGGGAGTCATTATTTGCGGAAGTTATTAAACTGCTAGCAACACTGTGGGTTTGAGCTACATCTTTAGGATAAATTGTCACGATGTCCGCTGTTAAAATTCACAGGAGACCTTTTAGGTGATGTTTGTAGTAGAAATGGGTCCACTTCATGTTGAGAAGTGTCCTAAAATGGCTTTGCTTTAATCCACGTGGATTTCGCGTGTCTGCCTGCCTTTCTGTACATGTACACACATTTGCAACCATTTCTTATAGCTTATATTCGATACCCTCGAGTTAGCGGTCGCTTGGCTACTTTTTATATTGGCCCCATGAGAAGTAGCGAGGACACGGAGCAGCAGGTCAGGGAGTCAGAGGTCGACATGAACCCGCCTAAGCGGCTACGCACCACGGAAACACTGACAGGAGGCAAAGAGCGGGAGGTGGAGAAGAGCACTGTGGATGTGGTGGGTGATGATGACTCAATTTAATGTCGATATTGACATTAAGGAGAGTAAAAGTTATAAAAAGTGATATGGCCAGTATTACCACCCTAAATAGTTTGTTTACTGAGCATACAGGCTTATCCTCGTCTCTATTTCGGTGGTGTGGCATTTACTTGCGGTTTTAATTTGTTAAGAGCAAACTAATAGAGTAACAGGCTTGACTTCTAGAGATACAGGGCTTGAAACGTAAATATTCGCTATAGTTATTTTAGGGAAACCATTACAGATCCTAATAATGAAAGTGGCATCTGTTGGGCTACACCAGTCAGCCACAGTATTTAAACAGTGGATGGACAGATGAATAAAATAACCACATATGTGTAATGCACTCGGAAACATTGAGTGCTGGTATTTATGTGACTCTCACTTTGACACCCACACAAATGTTGTTGCAAACCAAGCACTCCCCAACACCAACTGCCTCCAATTCAGCACAGGACACCTAATGACAAAATGGAAAAAGCAAAACAAAACTGTTCCATTAAAAATGAAAAAGTCCCTAAATTATTTGCCCAGTTTCTTACCCCATGAAGGATTGACATGAAGTCTGTAAAACAAGCCAGATTGATGGAGATCACACCCCAGAAATCCAGGACCCACTGCCAAATTATCAGCACCAAGTACCACTGAATACCCCCACATGTCCCAAGTCTATTCCTTAGTTGTGTCAGTTATTTTGGCAGCTGTAACAGGTTCAGTATAATATTAGACAGCTGCTTGATTGGTCTGAACCAAGTTGTGCCTAATATACTGTAAACGTTGTACATATAGACACTGGCAATTTCAACTTACTTACTATATAGGAGTTTGACTTTTGTTATTTCCATGCCCTTTTGATTAAAGAAGTGCTACAGTTGCAATTTTACTCATTTTCAAGATCACTTCCCTCCTGCACTTCCAGTTTATACCATCCTGCTTGATTGTTGTTTTTGTGGTTGCCAAAGCAGCAGTTGAACTGAGTGTAAACTTTCTATTTGTGTCTTCTTTGCTCAGAGTATTGTCATGCCAGTGTATAATGCATCATGCTGGCTGGATGAATGTCTGCAGGCCATATTGGTCCAAGATTTCACTGGATCCATGGAGCTGTCGGTGTTTGATGACGCAAGCACCGTAGGTTTTGTAGGCATATTTACACAAGTGAAAGAATACATTGTCTCATAGTTTGAGACATCACTTAACTCTTATGCATGTGCTTGTCTTTTAGGATGACTCGAAAAAAGTGGTGGAAGGTTGGAGGGAGAGGCTAGAGGCAAAGGGCATCTCAGTGGTGATCTCTGGTCACAACTCTGAACAACCTAAAGGAGGTCAGTAACTTTTGGGATATGATCAGCAGTCAGTCCACACTCCCAATCAAATTATGTGACCTTTATTTTGTAGTTGAACGTGAAGGCCTTAATGCTAGTGGATGCTCATAATTCCCGTAACATCTTCCCAGTTGTTCCTATCACCATTTGTGGCAGCTAACGATATCAAATGAAAGCCATTGTTACATTCCCCAGAATAAACTATGTCTGAGGTGAGTACTGACAAGTTTCTGGGGAGAAATGGAAAGTATGTGAAAGAATGGGGATTTATTTACATGTAAAATCAGTTTATATGAACATGGTTGACATAAAGACCAGCCATGCAGCAGCCCTTATGCTGAAACAACCAAAAACAAAGGCAAAAGTTCAACCAAGCACAATCTCCAAAGAACAGTGAAAGCTACTGAGCTCATTAACAAGAAGGCAGCTTGAATGCTGCCAAATTGGCCTACTGGCAGTTAATGAGCCATTTCTAACAGTCTTTATACTCTGGGCCCAGCTGATCAGTAGTGGGATCAGCTGCACTGAATCTGCACATTCAGCATTTCATGAGGGTTACTGGGTTGAACAAAATGTTTCATTGAAATTGTGTCCAACAGGCTTTGAAGTACTTTTACTTTGTTTGGTGACTGTCAGAAGTGTTACACAGTTAGTAGCGAGGTCTGTATACAGCCCACTGTCAGTTTCCATTGGTGCAACAGCTTATCAGGGGCCGTTTAAGATCTGGTCCTTAAAATCTTCCAGTGTTGGACTTACTCTTGTGAATGCTTAATTAAGGAGAAGTGCAGAAATACAGTGCAACCTTTAAGAGACTTTTTTTTTCCGTGACTGAAACAGGAACTGGTACTCTGCAGCAATTTATACTGATTTTAGATGGATGTGTTAAGTTCATGTCTCTTACTTATTTGCAGAATGTGCATTGTAACGTTGTGCAACACATTTCAATGCGCTACAATTTGCAGTACATTTGAACATTTCTGCTAGCCCTCAAGCTAGCAGAAATGTAATAAATGAGCCTTTACTTAAGCGCTTACACACCGGCAGCGCTTTTTCATGTTGTCTGGTTTGACGGTTCATTAAGAATCCGAGCACACATTTAACTGTCTCACAAAGACATATTTAAAACTGTAAGAACAAATAAGCATGAAATGTTCTTTTGTCTTTCAGTGGGATATGCAAAGAATAAGGCCATATGTCAGAGTCGTGGGCAATACTTGTGCTTTCAGGATGCGGTGGGTGTGACCAAGTGTGCTTCATATCTTTCATAACACATACAATAGTGTGTCCAAAATAATGAAATCATATCGGGGTGTTGAGTTATGCAGAAAATACATGCAAACACAGATCTCAGCTGTCAAGTTACTGACTGATGGGCTAAATGAGCTCCAAACATGAAAGAGAAGTTTAAGTTGGATTAGAATAGCTCTGTTTTTGACACAGTGCTTTGTAGCTGCTTATCTGAAACACTCATCTGACACTCATCTGACACAGCCAAAAATGAAAGCTACAAACATCTGACAATCTTCCAACCTCTGATCGCCTCTGGCTATATTTTCTCTTATCTTTCGGAGTTGCATCCTATCAACTTGGCTGTTTTCTGCTAACTTTTCACAGAAAGCACCGAGTGCCTATAAGATTGGTTTATCTGAAAGCAGTCAACTAGTTCTGTTTATTCTTGTGACTCTTTTTCTGGTAATGCTGATATACTGATATATTTTACCCTCTTAAACTTTAAATACAGCCTTTATCTCAACCACGCTATGAAGACAAACTCTTATTCTCTGTGCACATCAAGTTTTTTGCCTATTTTCTATCTATCACTGCAGTTAGACAGTCCCCTCCAAGATTATTAAAAAATTGTTTTTTATGTTAAAATGCTAAAATTGTCAAAACTAACAATAGAAAATCCAACCTAAACCATTTTGACCAAGCTCTAATATAGTTCATTAAGTGCAAATGAAAAAGAATTGTGTGTATTGTGCATTTGTTGTCACATGTTATTGGCATAGACATTTAAAATAATTATTTCCTTAACTTTAGGATGACATTATGTTGCCCCAAAGAATTCGTCTGCAGTATGACGCGTCCGTCTTGCACAAAAACTCTGTAAGTTCTCTCTTAAGCGTTTGCTTAATCACTTCCTTCCCTGTCTTTTCTTCTCACTTCTCTTCCTCCTCCTCTCTACCTTTCCCTTTGACTATCAGTGTTAAAATGAAAACAACAACAACAAAAAAGATATTGTTTGTGAGAGTGAGCATGTGCATGCGTGTGCGTGCTGCTGTACAGTTGGCATGTAGAGCAGAGTGAGTATCCGGTGTTGATGCTTTCTTTGACCTGGCAGGTCAGGGGTTATAGGTCATGTGTGTGTGGAAAATAAGGGCGACAGCATAGAGACAGCAGGCTTGCTGTCCTCCATAAACAGCCTGCCTGGTTCTGTTCCAACTGTAATTTTTTTATAGTTGTAGGTGAAAAAATGGGACCCGTATTTTGTTTTTCAGTTTTCTATAACCTCTCTCTTTATGTAAGACCTCCTCTGATTCTGATGTAATTCTTTCTTTCCTTTTTTTGCTTGAATATGTCTCATAGGAAACACGATATGAAGCAGTAGTTTGCATTATTTGGGTGAAATGTATTAGAACTTTTAGATGAATTATTAGTTATTCTGCCAATAATATCTTAGTTTTTTTATTATCTGAAATAAAAAAAATATGTTAAACAATTCTATTAAACTTCAAAATCAAGTTAATATTTGAAACTCAGCCTTCAGTCTGAAGGATAATTACTCAAATCGTTGGAAGTTTGTGCAGCTCGATTTACAAAAAACAAACAAACACAGAAGCTCTCTGATACAGAATTTTGTCTAAAATGACTGAAAATGTTTTGGGTGGTTTTTGGAGTGAAAATTT